AAAGTGCTGGGATTACAGGCTTGAGCCACCGCGCCCGGCCAACTTTTTTTTTTTTTTTTTCTTTTTTGTGAGACGGAGTCTCGCTCTGTCGCCCAGGCTAGAGGCAGTGGCCAGATCTCAGCTCACTGTAAGGTCCGCCTCCCAGTTCACGCCATTTCTCCTGCCTCAGCTCCCCAAGTAGCTGGGACTACAGGCGCGCCGCCACGTTGCCTGGCTAGTTTTTTGTATTTTTATGTAGAGACAGGGTTTACACCGTGTTAGCCAGGATGGTCTCAATCTCCTGACCTCGTGATTTGCCCGTCTCGGCCTCCCAAAGTGCCTGGGATTAGCAAGCCTTGAGCCACGTGCCCGCGGCCAATTTCATGACTTTTCACATAATCATCATTCTGATTGCATGAGGTGTGTATCTCATCTGCAGTTTTTGATTTGCATTTTCTCTAATGATCTCATGCTGAGCTTGCTCTGTTGCTCGGGCTGGGAATTCTTCCTGCCTCAGCCCTCCTGAGATGCTGGGACTACACAGGTTACGCACCCACCACCGCCCGAGCTAATTTTTTGTTTAGTGGAGACCAGGGTTTTCTTTTTTTTTTTTTTTTTTTATATTTTTGAGGATGGAGTCCTTGCCTGTCGCCCACAGGCTGGAGTGGCAGTGGCCGGATCTCAGCTCACTTGCAAGCTCCGCTCCCGGGTTCATGCCATATCTCCTGCCTAAAAAAGAAAAAAAAAGAGTCAAGAAACAACAGCTGCTAGTGAGGCTGTGGAGAAACAGGAACGCTTTTACACTGTTGGTGGGAACGTAAATTAGTTCAACCACCGTGGAAGACGTGTGGTGATTCCTCAAAGACCTAGAAACAAAAATACCATCTGACCCTGCAATTCCATTACGGGGTATATACCCAAGAGAATAATCGAAATCATTCTATTATGAAGATACGTGCACACATATGTTCACTGCAGCACTATTCACAACAGCAAAGATATAGAATCAACCCAAATGCCCATGGATAAGAAAAGAAACTGGGTAGGCTGGATAAAGAAAATACAGGACATACACACCATGGAATACTAGGCAGCCATAAAAAGGAACGAGATCACGTCCTTTGCAAGGTCATGGATGAAGCTGGAAGCCATTGTTCTCAGCAAACTAACACAGGAACAGAAAACCAAGCACCTCCTGTTCTCACTCATGAGTGGGAGCTGAACAATGAGAACACATGGACACAGGGAGGGGAACACCACACACCGGGGCCTGCTGGGGGCTCATCAGGATAAATAGCTAATGTATGCTGGGCTTAATACCTAGGTGATAGGTTGACACGTGCAGCAAACCACCATGGCACATGTCTACCTTTGGAACAAACCTGCACATCCTGCATATGTATCCCAGAACTTAAAATTAAATTAAATTTTAAAAGAAACAAAGAAAAGCGTTTGTCTCCACGGGACCCTGTGCAGGGAAGACCTGAGCTGTGAAGCCAGGGTTTACACTGCAGGGCATGAGGGGCAGGGGCCCCACTCATCACCGGCAGAAGCAAACTCAGAATCAGCCCAGGAGGATGTCTACAGCCTGGCCACAGGGAACTCCATGGAAGACACGAGCCCGCAGGTGAGGCCACAGCACAATGTCACACACCCCAGGGAAACCATCAACGCCACATGTGAGACGAGAGCATGCAGATGGAAGCCCTGACGGAGCGGATCTGCCGTCTGAGCATGTCGGAGAAGACAGAGACCTCCGAGGAGGAAGTAAGACCCGAATCAAAGAACAGGAGAGAGAAGGAAGAACGGGGAGATGAGGTGCGGGCGAGGAAGGTCCACACACACAGGCACAGGGACCCTGCAGCCCTGCAGCCCGCGCCACGGAGGCGGTTGGCCAGCCTGAGCGGCCCCTTGCTCACAGACACCCACCACAGCAGATGACCCTCCCGGTCTCTGAGCAGGACCCCCACCCCGCAGAGATGCTGCCGAATAGGGACAGCTTGTGGACATGAGTGGTCAGCAGGAACTGTAAAATGTCGTTTTTCAAAAGGTGACGAATGTGGCAAGAGAGAGGAAACTGGGGTGCCTGGATACAAGCCGGGATAACTTACGGGGTGCTCAGAAACTCGGGCCGCGGTCCAGGCTCGCCACTTCCCAGGCCCACCTGTAAACCCCTTCCCCAGCTTCTCTCTCTCCTGGGACATGAGCTGGCTCAGCCCAAGGTCAGCCACACAGCCCCAGCCTCCTTTCCGTGGCGCCACCTCAAGGGAAGACACGGCGACTCTGCCTGGTGACAGGTCTAGTAACACATACCCGAGAATCAGCCCGAAACTCCCTTTTCCTCCGGATCTTCTTGAAGATTTCCGTGAGCTCATCTCTGGCCTCCTCGTCGGTGGTGCTGGCTCCTGCGGCAGCCTCAGGGGCGGCTGCGGTGGCCCCCTCAGCCCCTGGGGGAGCCTGGCCCGGAAGAGGCGTGTCTATGGTCGGATCTTCTGCGTGTTCAATTAGCCACTCCATGGCCTGAGGTACCGACATGCTGCAAGGCAAGAGACTCTTTCCAACACCCCCAGGCTAACGGACTGGGGCCTTCGCCTCCTGTCCATTCCCAAGAGCCTCTGCTATGGTAGTGACTTCTCTAGCGTCAGCTGGTGGCCCTTATAATGAGAACCTGAATGAACACAGGTGCAACGGAAGCTCTGGTCCTTGCCTCAGACTACCTTGAGACCCTGGGCAGAAACAGAAGCCCGTCTAAGGAGAGGCGAGCGGACCCGGAGGTCTCTGCTGGGAGCTTAGGGATGGAGCGCCCCCGGCTGCCCCTGGATCTCGGATTATTCGTTTTAGATCTGAACACAGAAGCAGGACCAGTAACTCACACGGAAATCCTGAGAAGACTGTTAGAGGCCGTGTTCCTGCTACGAACGGGCTTCACCTTGAGTTCTCATACAACGGCCCAAAGAGAATTTATACAACGACTGCTCTGCCACATTCACCCCAAAAACGCTTTGCAGGCCCATATTTAAGGTACCTCTTCAAAACCCCACACGTTAGAAAAGATTCAGTCAAACACAGAGTTTAGGGTAGGAGGACGTCACCCACGGTGGGAGCCCCTCAAGACCAGGCCCCACGTGTCTCCGGCAAGGGAAGGAGGCGGCCCCCACGCACTGGTTCAGCTGAAGGGCCTTGGTGGCTCTGTTCTCCGGAAAGCCCATCTCCGTGAGCTGCCGCAGGGCGGCCTCGTCCACGCGCTCATCCTCGTCCTCGTCCAGCATCGCTGCGGGGAGACGACAGGGCCATGAAGGCTCCAGCCTCAGGCCCAGGGGCCTTATCTGAGCACAAACATTTGCAGGAATTATCTGTCTGAGCTCTGCCTGCCCGCCCTCAGGCGTATCAACAGGCGTTGCCGGTGAGGCAGGCCCCAGGCCCTCAGCACAGAGGTTCTGGTGGTGCGTGAGCTGCAGACGCTCCCCCAGGCAGGCAGCGAACCGCGCCTGGAATGCAGCATCAGGGCTGACTCATACCATTCGCCTTCTTAAACAGTTCCACCGCATCTGGGTTCAGTGCTAACAGCTTCTGCGCCACCTCGATGAGAGACACCAGGATCTTCCGGAGTTCTGTCTGGAACTGCAGTGAAAAAAAAGGAGATCAATTCTCTAAATGTCCAGCAAACCTGCTTGGACCTATGGCTTGCTCCCATCCTGGAACTCCGATCCTCAGAGTCGAGATGACACCGCTTTCCTGCAAGACAGCAGGATCAACTGAGGGCAAGGCAGGGGATCGGCAGGGCCACGGGCCTCCCTGAAGGTGGGACTGAAGCCAGTGGAAAGGGACACGAACGCCCGGTGGCAGTCGCTCAGTGCTGGCCTGATACTCAGCCCGTGCCCAGTGAGGAAACCGCCGGTCCAGCCAGCGTGGGTGGGGGCGAGCTGAAGACCTCTCTGGCTTCACTGAAGAAAATAGAATCATCTGAGGCTCCACGCCCGTGAGTCTGCCGGCCCCCGGTGGAGGCATGCCTGCCACACAGCGGTGGCCATCACTGTCCTCCCCAGGCAGGACAAGCTGTGGGACGGAACAAAGACGCCCTCCAGAACAGCGAGAGGTCAGGTGTCAGCTGTCCCTTCTCTCACACAAGTGTGAGCCTTGGTGTGGATACCACACTAGAGAAACACCTCTAGGCTGGACACACACAGGATGGGAGACACACAGGCTGGCTGCTGGGGAAAAGTCACCATGCCCTGGTTGGCACAGAACTCTCTGGAAGAGACCCCAAGAGGTTCATTCCTAAAATGAAACAGGATTTATGGCAGCGCCCTTAGGTCAGACTGGCATCGGATGAAGTTGGAAGCCAGCCGTCCTCCCACCCCGGCACAGCACGTGTCCCACCGCGGGGGCGTCCACACTGAGCACTGCAAACACTTTTCTCTTTTAACTGACAACGTTCTGATCCAAAATAACTCACGGGTTCAGATTTTTTTTTTTTTTCTTGAGACAGAGTTTCGCTCTTGCTATCCAGGTTGGAGTACAGTGATGCGATCTCAGCTCACTGCAACCTCTGCCTCCCGGGTTCAAGCGATTCTCCTGCCTCAGCCTCCTGAATAGCTGGGATTACAGGCACCCACCACTATGCCCGGCTAATTTTTGGTATTTTTAGCAGAGACGGGGTTTCACCATGTTGGCCAGGCTGGTCTCGAACTTCTGACCTCAGGTGATCCGCCTGCTTTGGGTGCAGAATTCTATCTAAACATTTCTGCCAAACCCAGGGCCAGACTGATGTTTTCCCAGGGGTATGTATCTTTCCAGCCCTGCCTTCAGATGGCTTTCCAACTCTCACTTGGAAATAATTTTTGATTTACAGAAAAAATGCAAAATAGTGCAGTCCTATAGACCCCCTCACTGACTTCCCCAAATACTCCTAGAGAATCTCCTCTTGCTGCCCTGCCCTGCGGGAACCCCCCATGGCAATCCCCCACGTGGGGACCCCACGCGCCCGCCGCCGCTCTGGGCCGACACTTACATCTCTCATGTTGGTCTGGACCGCGGCCCGGTCCATGTTGTAGGAGGGCAGGTTGGCGGTGGCCCGGAGTATGGCCTCTTTATCTGGAGCTTTCTGGTCTTGTTTTTTCTACACAGAAAAGTAATCAGAAAGTCAGACATGAACGTAACAGCACCAAAAAGCAAGATGATGAAAACTGAACCAGCAGAGCTCTGCCCAGGAAAGACTCCGTCTCCTTCAGGAGCCAGAGGTGTAAACTCCTTGATGAGCTGGGGGAGCCTGGAGAGTTCTGGGCAAGGCCCAGGGACAGCAGACGTGTCCTCAGCGCCTGCTCTGCCGTAAATGAGAGTGAAGCGGTAGGTGAGGGGCAGAGCAGGAGCAAGGGTCACAGAACAACAACCACACGGGGGCTGTGGCAGGGCTGGGGCAAGGGAGGCGACTCCAGAAAAACCACCCAGGCTGCAGCTGAGCCCTGAGGCCAAAATCACGAACTCATCTCTGCTCCTTCTGGAAGCTCCTGACGGGCAGTTATGGCAGCAGAAACTCACGAGAACAAAAGTGATGGGAGAGGAACAGAACCGGAAGAGTGACAGCACATTCTCAGAAGACGGCAGAGGATGAGGATGGAGGGATCAGCGGAGCTACGAAGGCTCAGGCCAAGAGCACAGCATGGACGCAAGACCATGGGAGGAATGCCAGCCTCCTAGAACTGCATCGGTGGCAGGAGACAGGGAGCGAGCCTCAGGAGCTAGGACTCCATCCTCCCCCACCCTGCCCTGCGCTCCCCTGCCATCCAGTCCTACCGGCAACTCCCAGAGAGCTGGGCTTGAGACCCCGGGCCAGAAGCCCTCAGCTCATGAGAGGGAAAGCGGCACTCCCAGCACCCTCGACAGGGAGACCCAGCAGCAGGGGAGTGGGGCAGACACAGCCATGAGGTGGGAGGGGGCAAAATGGCAGGGTCTGCACCCAAAGGGCAGTGCCCCAGCCAGCCACCCAGTCCCAAAGCACTGCTAACAAGATCCAGGGCCTCTGGAAGGTGGCATTCAGCCACAGACAGCCGGCCAGACGTTTGAGGAAAGCTTCCAGCACAAAAGACAAAAACCCAAATAAAAACAGGAACAGGCTGGGCGCAGCGGCGCAAGCCTATAATCCCAGCCCTTTGGGAGGCTGAGGTGGGTGGATTACTTGAGGTCAGGAGATCGAGACCAGCATGGCCAACATGGTGAAACCCCATGTCTAATAAAAATACAAAAATAAGCCGGGTGTGCTGGTGCACGCCTGTAATCCCAGCTACCCGGGAGGCTGAGGCAGGAGAATCGCTTGAACCTGGGAGGTGAGCTGAGATCACACCACTGCACTCAAGCCTGGGTGAGTGACAGTGAGACTCTGACTGAAAAAAAAAAAGAAAAGGAACAACAGAAAGCAGCACAAAGTGAGGAGCCAGCAGGGAAGACGACAGTGTTTATGAGCCAGGACACACGGCCCGCAGAGGAACACACCAGAACGCTAGAAGACATCCGAGGAGGAGAACCGGCTTAGGAATTTAAATACGTTACAGCCAGATCAAAAAGGCTACAGAATGCTTAGAAGATAAAGCAAGGAATCCCTCAGAAAACAGGCCTACCGGCCAACTCATAAGTGTTACAGAAAGAGAAAAGAAAACAAGGAGATCAAAAAACCAATTCAGGACATTTTCCAGGACTAAATCTCCCAGAACTCAAACATCTGAATTTCCAGAGTCAATGCGCCAGGCAGAGCGAAGAGAGAAAGACCCGCAGCAGAGACACCGTGGAACATCCCAGAACGCTACAGCACACCAGATGGCAGAAGGTTCTAGAAGGAGCAGAGGAAGGGGAGGCCTCGGCTGGTGCAGGGAGGAGCGGCTCAGAGCTGCCTCGTGTGCTGCACACGGCGGTGCCCCCTCCACAGCTCCTGCGCTGGAATGCAAAGCCTCAAGACGGTTTCCCCTCCCGGGCACTAGAGGAAGTCAGGCTCCACCAGACCAAGGGACAGGTCGAGAAGAACAAGACACCTGGTCCTGCGGCAGGCAGAACTCGAGGACGGCGGCACGCTCCCCGTGCCTGGCAGTTGCCCGTGCGTGGCTGCAGAGCATGAGCAGGAGGACACAGTCCACTCTGGGTCAGGTTACATCACGCGGCACAGCCGACTCTGGGGAAAGAGCATGATCCTTGGTGGGCCTCACCTAATCAGGCAGGTCCTTAAAAGGGATGGGTCTCTTTCTGGAAAGAGACATTCAACACTTCAGAAATCCCGCTGCTGGCTCTGAAGGAGGAGGAGCCTGTGTGGGTAGGAATGCGGGCCACACCCAGGCCCTGAGAGCAGCCCCCAGCCGGCAACCAGCAAGAAAATGGGTCGGAACTGGACTCTGCCAACCGCCGGAAGACCTCAGGAGCAGAATCTTTCCCAGCCTCGGAAAGGAAGGCAGCCCTTCAGCACCCTGAACACAGCCCTTCGGCACTCTGATTTCAGCTCGAGACCCTGAGCACAGAAACCAGCTGAACTCACCCAGCCAGACTTCTGCCCTACAGAACTGCAAGCTACAAGCCGAGGGCTGTTTTAAGCGCCTACGTGCGTGGCGATTTGTTGGGTGGCAACGGAAAACTTGCATAGACTTAGCAAACTCTACCATAAGAGAGAGGCAGGAAAGCCAAGCTGTGCAGCAGGCCTGGAAGGCAGCGACTCAGACAGATGCGCAGGCCAGAGGGATCTGGAGGGACAGCCCCAGGAGAAAGGGAACGCCCCGGCGACCTGACATCTGTGACCATGTTTCCAGAAGCTTTATCAGCTCTGTGGAAGAGCATGAAAAAATCAGCGATAAGCCTATAAGAAACTCAACAAGCAAACGAAAGGAAGAGGCAAGTATTAATTCCAGGAAAAACAAAGTTGTGTGAGAAGGATGGATAATCTTAATCTATTTTGCTCACAGCGGAAAACTATACTTCAATTATAATAGTAATGAAAGCCCTGAGATCTTCAACCAGCATTATGATCTAACCTCAAGGGAGGAGAGAGGGAGGCACTACAGCTTCTTCGTTAAGAAGTCAATAGAGACTAAAGTTGGTCATTCAAGGAATACTACTATACACATATTATTTAGAAATCAGGAAGAGAATTGTGAAAGATAACAGAGTTATGAGTGGTTGGGCCAGGCGTGGTGTCTTACGCCTGTAATCCCAACACTTTGGGAGGCCAAGGTGGAAGAGACCACCTGAGCCCAGAAGTTCAAGATCAGCCTGGGCAACATGGCGAGACCCCATGTCTAAAAAAAAATACAAAAATTAGTAAAGTGTGGTGGCACACACCTATAGTCCTAGTTGCTTTACTCCTGGGGCTGAGGGAGAAGGATCACTTAAGCTCAGGAGGAAGAGGTTGCACTGAGGTGAGATTGTACCACACACTCCAGCCTGATGTGCACTGCCTGGCTTGTGCCAACACGCCCAGCTAATTTTTTATGTTTTTTGTAGAGACAGAGTTTCATCATGCTGCCCAGGCTGGTCTCAAATTCCTGGGCTCAAGTGATCCTCCCACCTCAGCCTCCCAAAGTGCTGCGACTACAGGCGTGGGCCACTGCACCCAGCCAAGACCACTAATTCTTATTAAAAGATTTGTAGTATTATTTGACCTTTTAAAAACATATGTCACTTTGACTTAAAAATTAATTCATAAATACAAAAATTAGCTGGGTATGGTGGCACACACCTGTGGTCCCAGCTACTCAGGAGGCTGAGGCAAGAGGACTGCTTAAGCCCAGGAGGTCAAGGTTGCAATGAGTTATGATTGTACCACTGCACTGTGGCCTGGGCAACAGAGTGAGATCCTGTCTCTGAAACAAAAGCAAAAACTAAATTAAAAATTAATTTAGGCCAGGCACGATGACTCATGCCTGTAATTCTAGCACTTTGGGAGGCCGAGGCAGGTGGATCACCTGAGATCAGGAGTTCGAGACCAGCCTGGCCAACATGGTGAAACCCCGTCTCTTGTAAAAATACAAAAAATTAGCCAGGCATGGTGGCACGCACCTGTAATTCCAGCTACTCGGAAGGCTGAGGCAGGAGAATCATTTGAACCTGGGGGACGGAGGTTGCAGTGAGCTGAGATCGCGCCACTGCACTCTTGCTTGGGTAACAAGAGCGAAACTCTGTCTCAAAAATAACAACAATAATAATAATAAATTCATAAAAATATGAATTGACATCTTACAATGTTTCAGTTTGCAAATATTTGAAGAGAAAAGGTAAGCTCCTCAAGTTAGCTCCAAGCTACCCATCCAAGGGTCTGTGGGGCAACGGCTATCTGGTCAGACCCCACCGTTTATATTAGTTACGGGCCTGTAAGTCTGAACACCAACAGTCAAACTGTAATCTGAGAACTGTGAATGCTGCCTGCAGCAGTTCCCAGAAACAGGCCTGACTCAGGGACAAGCGGAGGCAGGCCCAGATCTGTCCACTGCAGATGGGTGGGGCGGCAGCCTGTGTGTTACTCATGCGTGGCTAGGTGTGGCTGAAGATAAGGAGGGGACCCAAGCCCAGGGCGCTCTTCCTGGGGACCCGTGGTCCCAGAGAAACCCAAAAATAGCTTATGCACTCCCAGGCATGGGCCTGGCCCAAAAGAGTTGGGCCCGCTGCTTCTCTGCGGTGAACACTCTCCTCAGCCTCTCAATGCACGAGTAAGAAACTCTACCCTCGAGATGAGTAATGCAAAGACAGCAGGGGAAAGTGGCTGCCCTTCTCGCCAGCAGGCTCCACGCTCGGCCCGGGCTCAGGCCCTGCTGTGAGGTAGGACGTGCCACTTGCAGAACGCATCTTCCTCTGCTCAGTGAGCTTTCCAAAGTGTGAGCTTCTGGGGCAGCCAGCAAACACCACGCTGCACGGTTCTCCTAAGGGACACGCGTGAGTGGACGGCGCAGACCACGAGTCGATAACGTGTGTGTGAATGTGCACACCAAGGACATCCAGTTCTGTTTTGCAGGAAAACGGACAAGAAAGGCAGAACTCAGGCCCTCTCAGCATGAAGAGTGCAGGCTGAGCGTCCCCCATCTGAAATGCCTGGGACCAGAACTGGTTCGGATTTCGGGTTTTTTCAGATTTGGGAATATCTGCATTCCAAATAATAAACTCGAAAAGCACCAACGAGCACTTCCATTAAGTGTCATTTCGGCACTCAAAAAGTTTCAGACTGCGGTGCATGTGGATTTTTGGATGGGGATGCCGAGCCTGTGCGGTGTGAGGCGCAGCTTGTCGCGAGTGCTCCCTCGCCGGCCACTCTCTGCATGCGCAGCCCTTATTCCGTGTGGAGGTTGGTTACCAACTTCCCTCCGTTTTTCTGTCAGGACTGACTTGGCTGCTTGAGAAGAGGAGGGAACGGGAGCACACGCAGATGAAGGCGGACAGCAGCACGGGAGTGAACTGTCACGCAGGATGTGCCCCTACTCTCCTCTCTGTCTCAAACAACTCAGAGGCAGGTTTTCTGTGCTGGTCCCGTGAGCAGGGACCAGGACTGACATGGATTAAACAGGCTCCGCCAGGAGAGAGAACCCCTTATAACCACATCTACTGTAAATGGCAAATATGTGGGTTGGTGAACAACTAGTATGGAGAACTTCTTTATAATTCTTTTTAAAAATTATTTATTTATTTATTAAATTTTGAGATGGAGTCTCACTCTGTTGCCAGGCTGGAGTGCAGTGGCACGATCTCGGCTCACTGCAACCTCTACCTCCCGAGTAGCTGGGACTACAGGTGCGCGTCACCACGCCCAGCTAATTTTTTTGTATTTTTAGTAGAAACGGGGTTTCGCCATATTGGCCAGGATGGTCTCGATCTCTCGACCTTGTGATCCACCCGCCTCGACCTCCCAAAGCCCTGGGATTACAGGCACGAGCCACCGTACCCAGCCTATAATTATTATTTTTTTCTTTTTTTTTGAGACAGAGTCTCGCTCTGTTGCCCAGGCTGGAGAGCAGTGGCACGATCTCAGCTTACAGCAAGCTCCACCTCCCAGGTTCACACCGGTTCTCCGCTCAGTCTCCCAAGTAGCTGGGGACTACAAGCGCCACCACACCATGCCCAGCTAATTTTTGTACATTTTTTTTTTTAGTAGAGACGGGGTTTCACCATGTTAGCCAGGATGGTCTCAATCTCCTGACCTGGTGATCTGCCCACCTCGGCCCCCTAAAGTGCTGGCATTACAGGCGTGAGCCACCGCACCTGGCCTACAATTCTTAAATGTAAACTTCTACCAATCAAGGTCCCCAATTGCAAACTTTGAAATTTACCTTTTCTTCTGCTGAGACCTCAGCCATCTTGGGAAGTGGTGATGGAGCACGCTTTTTTATCAATAATAGGACGTCTAGAAAAAACAACATGTATATCCATCACACTGGTTATCGTTTCATATCCACAGAATGGCATAAAGGGTGCTCGATGCCCTGAGAACAGAACAGCAGGGGTTCGGCCAGGCGCGGTGGCTCCCATCTGTAATCCTAGCACTTTGGGAGGCTGAGGTGGACAAATCACCCAAGGTCAGGCGTTCGAGACCAGCCTGGCCAACACAGTGAAACCCCATCTCTACTAAAACTACAAAAATTAGCCAGGCGTGGTGGCGCACACCTGTAATCCCAGCTACTCAGGAGGCTGAGGCAGGAGAATCACTTGAACCCGGGAGGCGGAGGTTGCAGTGAGCCGAGCACCACTGCACTCCAGCCTGGGCGACAGAGCAAGACTTCGTCTTAAAAAAAAAAAGAAGAAGAAGAAGAGCAGGGCTTCAGCTGGGTGCAGTGGCTCACTCCTACAAGCCCAGCACTCTGACAGGATGAGGCAGGCGGATCACTTGAGCCCAGGAGTCCAAGACCAGACTGGACAACATGGCAAGACCCCATCTCTATGAAAATACAAAAAATAGCTGCACATGGTGGCACATGCCCACAGTCCCAGCTACTTGGGAGACTGAGGTGAGAGGATTGCTTGAGCCCAGGAGGTCAAGGCAGCGGTGGGTCTGACTGTGCCTCTGCACTCCAGTCTGGGTGACTGAGCGACACCATGTCTCCAAACAGCAGGGATTCCTTTGGTCTCCCCAAACCAAGGATCTACGCCGGCCTTCCCTCCCTTTCTCATGACATCTGTGTGGCCCCAGCTGAGGCACAAGCTCCCAGGCCTGGCACAAAGCCCCAGGTGACCCGTGGCCCCGGAGGCGTGCACAGCATGGCCCCAGTAATTGTGCAACGAATTGGTGACAATCCTGCATAGGGCCCTCATTTTCACCGGCTCAGTTTTGAAAAAGTCTGTGAGGCTGGAGAGTTGACTCTTAACCCTCGGAGGTCAAAACCTGAGATGTGGCTCATCCTCAGCCCACGACGGTGACCACCCCCCACTGGCTTGGAGCTTGATGGTCATCTCAGTGGGTATCTGTTGCAAGACTTCCAGGATTTCCAAAACAGCTAACTTCAAGGAATTCCATCAGTAAAGGCATTATTTGAATGACATAACCAAAACTGATGTTAGCTCTTCGAGTGCCTCCAGACACAAAACCATAAGCAATTAAATGGCCGTGTGTGTCTAACGCTGCACTGGGATGCTGACAACAATCCCCACAACGAAGGTGAAAGCTGCAGAACCCCTGGAGTCTCTCGCTTTGCTCCAAACAGAACTAAAAGCAAAAAGCACGTGTGGCGTCTCAAACGTCTGCTGCTTGTTCCATTTCAATTTCTGCTGTTTTTCACAGGTATCCTATCACGGAACTCCTTTTAATAAAGGAAAAACAGAATGCTCTTAGTCGATCGCATTTTCGTGCTCGTGTCCAGCTCAGAACACTGACTCCTGTGGGTGGACCACCCCCTCCTAGCTCCAGCGCCCCCAGCAGCGCACGATGCCTGATGCCAACCCGCCCGCCCACAGCAGCCTTACCTTGGTCCTGGATGTTCTCTTCCAGGATGGTCCTGGCATCACTCAGCACCCTCTCTGAGGCAGCGTGGATTAATTTATGATGGGTTATACTTTTGGGATCTTCTAAGCTCCCATGAGCACACTGGGGAAAAATAGATATTTCAAGGTAGAAAATAAGTAAATCGTAATTCTAATAACATAGGACCTGGCATCCCAAGCCACACCTGGAATTTACTGGGTTTCCTTATGAGCTAAGAAATTACACCATGGATGAAATTCAAGAATTCCCACTAATAGTAGATGGCAAATGAAGCATCACAGCGCCAGATCCCCTGGGCCAGTGAGCTGATCCCCAGCCCACGGAGTACTCCTGAAGCAAGCTCCCAGCTCTGACATACCACACACCCTACTGACAATTCACAGCCACCAGAATTGCTTCTTTGGTCTAGAAAGATCTGGAAAATAATTTTAAATGAAAATAGCAGATCCATTGTTTTCTGATGGTCTAAAGACCTACCTATGTTTTGGGCAGTCGTTTTTCTTTCTTCCACAGATGCAAGAAAGGGGCCCAAGAGACTGCCCCGAAAGAAGACCAGCTCACAGAGAGCCCGAGACTGGGATAGGAGGAGCACTTGGCATGATTGCTCTTGGCTTGGCCGAGTTCACTAAGCAACAGCCATGCTGCACCCTGAGATTGGGATAAGAGGGGCACTTAGCATGACTGCTCTTGGCTTGGCCCAGCTCACGAAGCAGCAGCCATGCTGCACCCCTGGGCGGCTCGAAGGGGGACCGATGGGCACACAGTCACCAGGACCCTGGAAACCCTGCAACACCTGCACAGGGAACGGGAGGCAACACGTGGGCAGCAGTGAGGAGATCCCCCTCACACACACCACAGCCACCTGTGACCAGTGCTCACGGGGGACCTGGGAAGCCATCTTGACAGCTACCGACTGCAAACTCCAGGAGGACGTTGGAGCAGACGGCTATGATCCCTTCCAACCCTGCCATTACGAAGACCTCACAGCCAACTGCTGGCAGGGGTGGATCCTGCTCCTCAATTCAGCCAGCATCCTCTCTGCAAAACAGCACACAGCTGTCCCTGACTCATGCACATGGCACTGGCTTGCGGGATCTCTGCTTTCCTTTGGACACAGGGGCTCTGCGTGTCGGCTCACCATTTTGTGAAGAACGGCAAACACCGATGGTGCCACATGATGAAGACCGAGGTCGGCACATGTGCCTGCGTGTTCGTGCCCAAGTCGGTCCAGAGCTCCACGACTCCACCCTATTATCTATCTGCCTCAGCACCATACGGCCCGACACATCACACCACACCCCAGCACACTAAACAGCGCCCACCTAAATCCCGCCGTTTCCACAGCCTGGCCTGAAAACCCTTCAGAACTCAGAGCTTGGGCGGCGAGAAGGCTGACTATTTTCTTGCTCTTACAGATCCCCTGAGGTTAGATGGTAGAATTACCTGAAGATCAGAAAAGGATGAAACCCTCAAGGGGCACTTTCTAAACCTGGTAGCGGGCTCAGCCCGTGGGTCAGGAGCATGGCCCAGCCTGGAGCGGGGCCGGGGCACCACCCCAGGACAGGCCGTCCTTGGACGTCTCAGGTGGCCGGGCAGAGGCCCCGCTGGCAGCTCACTTTCTACCTCCCTTTGCTGCCACAGAGGCTCTGAAACACCCAGCACACATAACTGCTTGCTGGGAAAGAAAATCTAAGCGCACACTTCACCTCTCAACACTGGCATCTGAAGAGTAACTGGAATTTTCTGTTACTCTCAAGACTGAAAACAGTTTTGAAAAAGGGGCTGTCACTCCTTCACACACAAAACTGGCCAGGCTGAGGGGATGTGAGGGGGGACGCGGCTACTGGGAAGACACACTCCTGCCATTTACGACAGGGCAGAGAGCCCCTCGAGTGCCTCTGGATTTGACAATGGCTCTGCTCCCTGAAATACTGGGGTGCTTCTTCACGATCCTAAAGTTTGCAGGTCAGTTCATTTGTCAAGTTCAGAATATACAGACTACGAAATGCAATTTTCCAAAATAATTCTCCTACCGATTCCCAAAAAACCTGTAGTCCACGTGTCACCAGCACACCAGAAACAACGTGGAAGCACTAGGACGACCACGTCACTCTGCTTCTTTGTCCTCAGCAGCAAAAAAGCCCCAGCCAAGGCCGCTGGGGGAGGGAGGCCCTCACACCCCCACCCGTCTACATCCTGCTCCTCCCCAGAAGAGCAGTGATGACTAGGTTTCTGCTTGTTCCTGACGCAATCCGTCATCTGAGGACCCACCTTCATGCGATCTAGGAAATGGAAAATTTAACAGCTATACTAGTAGGTACTGTGTTCTATTTTGGCAATTTCATGAACTCCTTTTTTTTTTTTAAAGACAGGGTCTCGTTCTGTCACCCAGGCTGGAGTGCAGTGGCACAATCTGCACTCATTGCAACCTCCAGTTCCCAGGTTCAAGAGATTCTTGTGCCTCAGCCTCCTGAGTAGGTGGGATTACAGGAGTCTGCTACTATGCCAGGCTGTTTTTTACATTTTCAGTAGAGAAGGGGTATCGCCATGCTGGCCAGGCTGGAATTTCGTGAATGTTTACGACACGCACCAAACTCTACCGCACCACAGGTACGATTTTCCTAAACTCATTAACCACCTGTTGTACAAGACGGGTTCCCCTGCCCGCTTCTCCATTCCAGGGCCGTGGAAGCTAGAGACCACCACGGTGATCCCAATTTGCACAAAACAGAAAAGGGAAAGACAACAGCAAGAGTTGTAATCATAAAGCCCCTCAGTTCAGCAATGCACACCCAGGAGCACAGCAGGGAGAGGCCGACATCATGCCCCTCCAAGTAGAGGGGAAAGAGGAAGGATAAAATCATGCCGGTGTCAGCACGTACTAGGGACCTGGCGAGGAGCAACAAAGCTAAAACACACCAGACCTCACTGCCGACAGCAGGATGACATCCAGGGACCGGCTTCCAGAGAGACGTTCAAATACACAACTTGAGGGTTCTCTTTTCTGACTAATGCATTCTAGCCCTGCCTGCAGAACCACGATGGGATGCGGTGGTGGGGAGCCTTTCTGATGCTCAGCTCCGGAGTCCTGAAATTTATGTCGGCTCTTGTGGTGTGGAAATCCCCTGCCAGTCAGATCCTCCACACCTGCGGAGACCGCAGAGTGAAATACAATCTTAGTTTAAAGTAGGATAACGACAAAAAATCCCAAATGATACAGCTCAACATCAGATGGAGTAATAAATATCAGGAATATAATAATCAGCATCAGCAACACATCGGAACTGGCTGCCTAACTGACCCCCAGTGCTCCTGAAATTCATGAGTGAGTATCTGCGGATCAAACAGCTCTCATTTCCTATTTCCTTTCATAAGAGAATGTCAAGGCCGGGCGCGGTGGCTCAAGCCTGTAATCCCAGCATTTTGGGAGGCCGAGATGGGCGGATCACGAGGTCAGGAGATCGAGCCCATCCTGACTAACACGGTGAAACCCCGTCTTAGTAAAAATACAAAAATTAGCCGGGCATGGTGGCGGGCGCCTGTAGTCCCAGCTACTCGGGAGGCTGAGGCAGGAGAATGGCGGGAACCCCAGAGGCGGAGCTTGCAGTGAGCCGAGATCTTGCCACTGCACTCCAGCCTGGGCGACAGAGCGAGACTCCATCTCAAAAAAAAAAAAAAAAAAGAATGTCATGATGGCGTGTGCATCGCGCCCTGAGGGAGTTAAACTAAATGCTGCACCAATGCAGGTGACATCCCATGTCAACGCAGTGTGGGGTCCACGGGATATTTTTGTCTATTCCATTAACCCACAAGTTTGTTTTGGTGCCACTCTGAGCCTGGCCCTGAACTTGCGGATATAAACCCAGCCGCCGAGGAGCTTCTGCACTGGCGCAGGGAGGATACGGCACCTCAGAGAAGTTTGTGGGATTTTTTTGGTCGTTGTAGTTTTTTTTTTTTTTTTTTTTGGAGACAGAGTCTTGCTCTGTCACCAGGCTGGAGTGCAGGGCGTGGATCCTCATGCTCCCCAACTGCCAACCTCCACTTCCGGGTTCCAAGTGATTCCCCCCTGCCCTCAGCCTCCTGAGCAACGCTGGGATTACAGGCACGCGCCACCACGCCCGGCTAATTTTTTTGTATTTTAGTAGAGACGGGGTTTCACCATGTTGGCCAAGATGGTCTCGATTTCCTGACCTCATGATCCGCCCGCCTCGGCCTCCCAAAGTGCTGGGATTACAGGCGTGAGTCACCCTGCCAGCCCGGAGAAGTTTTTTAAAACACAAGCAACTAGGCAAGCAACAACGCCTGGCTCGAACAGCCTGGATGCCCACAGAGTTACCGGTGCTGGAGCTTAGTGCTGCCCCGATGGTTGTCCAGACGGCAAAATCATGCAGACTGGGCCAGAAGAAAAGCAAGAAAGCAACCAAAACATACGGACTCTTGAACGCAGGAGGCTCAGCCCCCTCCTTGGTGTGTGAATCCTGAGGACAGCACCTCCCAGTTGTTCACAGCCAGTGCGTTGCAGATGGGACTTGCCAAGCCTGCCTCTGACAGTTCCAGAACTTCACAAAACCATGCTCACAAAAGCAACTCGAAAGTACTCTATGCAAGCAGCTGCTATGGTAAGAACTGAAGTTTATCCTTACAGACCACACTTAGCTCAAGTCTAACGCACTCAACCTGTCAACACAGATAACGTAACTTATCACGTGGAGTCGCCGCTAGAAAGCTGCGGTCTCCTTCAACCTAAATTCGCCAAGCCCTCAGATCATGTCAAGTATAGACAGGAGGTCGGTCTGACACACAGACAGGCTGCTTAGCTGACCTTACTGAGTCCTTTAGAGACTCGAGAACTAGTGCCAAAAATCAGCAACCTAAGGAACTAAATACACAGGAGTATTTCGGGTGAAGAAACTTTAACAAGTGTCTCAGCCAGGAGATCCCACTCCTGGGCTTTCCCTCTTAACCAATTTTACCTCTGCAGAAAAGCAGGGGCGCAGGGCCTTGTCCCGCAGCGACACTATTTCAGACACTCCAGCTAAGAGGCACAGTGGCCAGCCCGGCTGCGCCAGCCAGGAAAAGAGCTCCAAGCAGCCGGCTCTGCGGGAAAGGGGAAGGGGAAGGAGAAGGGGCCTCTTAATGAAGGAGCCTACGTTAATTCTCAGGTCTCGGAGAGGCTGCTGGAAAAAACCTCACCCCAACAGCAAAAAGGTACAACTGCTGGAAAGTCGTCAGGCCCTGCTCCGTTGGCGACTCCACTCTCCAGGCCTCAGTTTCCCGATCTGCCCCTAACTCCCTGCGTAGCTGCAGAGTTAACTGAGAGGCTGGTTGTAGAGGGCTCGGCCAGGCGGCTGGCACCGGACGAGCGCTTAGCGACCGGTGTCCGCTGGCCAGGCCCGAGACGAGCGTCCAGAGGTGTGGGATCCGAAAGGGGGAGAGTCGGACGACCCGGCAGGAGGCGCTGCCTCCACCCCCGGAGAAGAGGGCCTGGGAGCTGCGGACTGGGCGGCGGACCCCAGGCCGGAGCGGTTCGGGGACTGAGGCAGGGTCCGCAGTCGGAGGCGTCCGGGGCGGGTGTTGGGGGCGGGGGAGGGGGCCCGGCCTTACGTGCTTGAGGCAGCGCTCCTTGAGCTTCTCCACCGAGGTGTCCTCGGTGGCCTCCTCCAGCCACTCGGCGCCGTCGGACGCGCAGATGTGCAGCCGCAGCACCTTGCCCGCGAAGATCTTCTCCTCCTGCACAAACATCCCGCCGCCGCCGCCGCCGCTGGGGCCTGCGCCCGCCGCCCGGGCCCCTGAAGGTCACCGGGCAGACGGGCGGGGCGGGGGCGGGGCCAGGCCGCCCGCGCGCTCCTTCGCTGGGACGCCGCCGCCCCGCCCCGGCTCCCGTCTGCCTGGCCGCCGTCACTCGCTGCGGCCTCAGCGGTCGCCTCGCTCCCGCCGCTGCAGCCGCCGGGGGCGCGCTGTCGCCGCCGCACCGGAAGTGCGTCACGGGCGCCCCTGACGCATGCCGGGAGATGTGGTTCTCAGACAGGCGTCTCGCTCCTGCCGCCAGGGGCGCGCTGTGGCCACCGCAAAGGAATGCGCCACGGGGCGCGCCCGGAGCACGCCGGGAGCTGTAGTTCTCTGGCCGCTTCGTTGCTCCCCCACCTGCAGGCTCTTCCCACCCGGGGCACTCACCACGTGGGACCGTATAGGCTCTAAAGATAAAATACACGCTGGATCCCAAAGAAGTAACTGGAAAAAAGAATGTAAGGCATCTCGATAATGTTTTCATATTGATTACATGTTGAAATAATATTTTGTATCTATTGGGTTAAGTAAAATATGTCATTAAAATTAATTTCACCTGTTTCTTTTAACCTTTTCATTCTCTGCCTCAGCTCCAGTACTGGGACCACAGGTGCGGGGCCACTCACCCGGCTAGCTTTTTTTTGGGTACTTTTTTAGTATAGACGGCGGTTTCACCGTGTTAGCGCACGGATGGTCTTGATCTCCTGACCCTCTGATCCTCCGCTCTCGGCTCTCCCACAAGTGCTGGGATTACAGGCGTGTGAGCACGCGCTCCGGCCTACAAGCAATCTTCTTTGAGAGCCTTCCGTTCGTACAGCAGTGCACGTCAAAAAAATATCACAGCCAGCGCTGGGCGCGGTTGCCTCACGCCTGTAATCCCAGCACTCTTGGGAAAGGCCTGAGCGGCCGGCATCACCGAGGTCAGGAGATCCAGACGCACTCGGTGAAACCCCAATCTCTACTAAAAATACAAAAAGTAGCCGCCGCGAGGCCTGGCCGGGCGCCTGTAAGTCCACAGCTAGTTGGGAGGCTGCCGAGCAGGAGAATGCGCGTGAACCCGCGGAGGCGGAGCTTGCAGTGAGCTAAGATCGCCCGCCACTGCACTCCAAGAAGTATCACAGCAGTCCATCGTCTACGCATATTCCTAAAATTTCTATCGTTCA